GGAATCCCTTAGAGGCAAGGGTAGCAAGACTTGGTCTTACATACTTTGAACATGTTGTCCGGAGAGACCAGTCCCTGGAGAAGGACATCATGCTTGGTAAAGTGGAAGGGGAGCAAAAAAGAGGAGGGCCCTCAACGAGAAGGATGGGCACAGTGGCTGCATGCATGGGCTCAGACACAGAAACAATTATGAAAATGGCGCAGGACTGGGCAGTGTCTTGTTAGGTTGTACATAGAATCGCTACAGATTGGAGCCAACCTGATGGCACCTAGCAACAACATTGTGCCACCAGGGTTCCTGTTTCTAGATAGATATATAAAGTGGTATATCTTGCAAGTGTGTTGAATCTAGTTGGGATTAGAACCACTACTCAGATACTTTCTCACAAAGTAGCTTGGGCTCAGAGTTGAATGGGTGGCCAGCCAGTCCTCTGGTGCGGAGAGCCTAGTGCAGGGCATTGAAGGGAGTGGCGACTTCAGTGTCAGGAACATCGGGAGGGACGGGACATCGGAAGGCAAGAAGCCAGCTGGGTTGAAGCAGAGGACTGGTGGACAGGAGCAATGGAAGATACACTGGCTAGATAAGTTCAGGTCAAATTGGGGAGGACTGTGCCTACAGGCCCAAAAGCACCCAGTGAGAGACCAGGATGGATTTTGAGACTGAGTTGGAAATTGTAGTGGTTAGGGAGGTGTATTAACTTAGCCCTCTCTTCAAAAGGCCCTGCTAGGGGGTGATCATTGACTAACTGCCTCCAGTTGACACACTCTTGGGTCCTTCATGACATTTGTGCTGAGGCCACATGGTCCCAGGTTGTTCCTGTCAGTGAATGAACATGGTGAGGGTACTAAACTAGGCCATTTCTGCTTCACTTAGGACTCCTCCATTGGGTGATCTTTGTTACAGATGCCCACCAGGCAACAGAGAGGTTTTCAAAACTTCTCTGTGGCCTGAGGCTCTTTCTACCCAGTATTCGCTCCTTCCTTCCACAGGTGTCAGACCTGCACAGTGGTCTGAAGGCTTTCCTTATGTCTTCCTGCTCCCTCCCTGTAATTCTACACAGATATTTCCTCCATAAATGTCTTGCATATCTAATCCCCTCTCAGCATCTGCTTCCTGGAGGACTTTAACTGACACAGAGTGGGTAGATCCTTGAATAACAAAGTCACCGGACTGAAAGGCTTTCTGAAGGATGAATGAAGAGGAACCTGACAATGAGCCAGAGGTGAAGCTGCTGATGACCTCAAGGTTCAGAGAATCAATACACCACTGTGATGCTGAGGTGGAACTCATTTGAGGGAACAGTCGAAGACATTACTTCTACGGGAGTTGGAGAAACCCACTAAACATCTTTCTGGTACTCTCTGCTTTCAGTCAAGACCCATCTGACATCAGCAATGAGATCCCTTTCTTCTGAATCTGGTCGGAACATCTTGCAGCTCTCTGTCAATATACTGCTGCAGTCATTGTAGACAGGGACACGAAAAGGTGTCTTTCAGGAGTTTCGGATAAATTATGTCTCTGTCAGAGAAGTAGAGAAGAAGATAAAGGTTGACAGGTTTAGGTCAGCAAGAAGGAAGGACCAGTAAGGGCGGACTGTCAGGAGAACAGTACTTCACATATAAACATCGGAAATGTAGAGAGAGGGGTAGTGTGTGTGTGTGTGTGTGTGTGTGTGTGTGTGTGTTTATTTTCTAGCCTCGAGGAGGGCAAGGCAAAAGGAATTCGGTGGAGGGAAGAGAAGAGTGACAGAGACATTGACATCAGAAAGATTCCAAAGAACATTTATGACTCTCCTCTCGGCAGTCATTAATGTAGTCTCATTTCGCGAGGCTGTATTAAGCCTCTCACGTGGCTGCTGGGCACTGTGCATCATGCAGATGTTGTGTCTGAGGAGAAGGAGCTTGACTTTTTGGTTCCTTTCCCTTTTAGGATTGGACAGACAGGTGTTTCTTTAAAAGAGCCATATGGTTCAAGGAAGTGTCTAACTTTACACGGTCAGGCACCAGGTTTCAAACTAAATTTGGGCTCTAGATTCTAGAATTCTTGTTGGCCCTGGATTGAGAATAGCCTCTCATTTTACCAGCCATCTGGTCCCCTAAGTCTCGGTTACTGAGTGGCATCTTGAAATATCTTCTCATGGAGAGGACAGAATCCACAAACAAAATCTTTAAGGGTGAATATATGTTTTGCCTACAGGGGCTCCCCAGGTGAGACTCTGGAGATGAGTAGGTCTATGTGATGAGAATGATGGTTATGTCTGTCTTGATCGGAATGGCTTCGCTTGAGATATCACATATTGAGGTATGACCTATACTGGATATCTCTTGCCTGTGCTTCTAGATTTTGATTGATTGGAATTTCCTTTTCCAAATAAGTAGGCTCCAGAGCTGATTATTCATCATCTCACACCTCAATGTAGTTGTTGTTGTTGTTAAGGGTTATCGAGTCAGTTCCAACCTACAGTGACCCTGTGTACAACAGAACAAAGTGACCCAGTCCTGTGCCATGCTCACAATTGCTCCTATGCTCCATCCTGCTATTGCAGCCACTGTGCCAATCCATCTCCTTGAGGGTTTTCCTCTTTTTTGCTGCCCCTCTACCAAACATGATGGCCTTCTCCAGGGGCTTCACTTTCCTGACAACGTGTCCACAATATGTGAGTCCAATTCTAGCTATCCTTGCCGCTAAAGAACACTCTGGCCATACTTCTTTCAAGATAGATTTGTCTTTTGGCAGTCTGTGGTATTCTCAATATTCTTCTCCAGCACCACAATTCAAATGCATAGATTCTTCTTTGGTCTTTTCAATGTCCACTCACATCAATAAATGTTGTTAAATGCTCCCTATGTGTTAGCTGATAGATTTATTGTTCCAACTAGACCTTCATAGGAACACATAGGCAGAATTTAATCAGGTTGAAGCTTGATTAGAGGGCAACCAAGATACATACTTTCCTTGGCTGGCATCCAATCTCTTTTCCTCTCTGGTGATCAGACCAGCATGCTGCTGCTTGAGCTAGTTCTTTGCCTCAACTGTGTACTGCACTGCCTGTGAACCGAGCCAACCCATGGATCATGTTGCTAGAGCTTGAGGCTCCTTCGAGACCTGCTTTGCCATGGTGCTTGAGGCTGGTGCATCATGTCACCATGCATCGCTTGGGGTCAAGATCCCATCATGAGGGCCTACTTTGCTAAGGTCCTGAGCTAATGACTGTTGCTGCCCGACCCTGCTGTCTGCTGCCTGCCTTGTCTTGCCTGAGGGGAGACTATGTTGTCGGCTTCCTTGTCCGTGGACTGGCAGCCACCATGAGTTGACGGACCTTCAGTATATTAACTGTTCCACAAAGGTGAGTTGAACTGGGCCCTCTACACTGCTCTGTGGACTAATGAGCTGTTATATTCCTTCTTGCTGCATAAACCTATGTGTGTATTTATATATATATTTAATTGTAAGTGTCCTGGTTTTGTTTCTCTAGAGAACCCTGCTTAACACAGGTACTGATGGCACAGAGTGGGAGAAAAACAGTCAACATCAGTTTGGAACATATTTCTGGTTTTCTAAGATGACAAAGATGGAGAACTGATTAGGTCTAATCATAAGATTAATTTTTGCGAAAAGTGTTTCATTATTCTCTCCAGTAGGACCATCTCTGGACGAAGTGTCTTGGCATGGACAAGTAACTTGAAATTTTCTCTAAGGAGCTGAGAGACTGAAGAAGGTGGTTGGCAACCCCATGATGGTAACATAGGATTTTATTTAAGGTGTTACTCACTGAGGTGAAGTACTGGGTGGCAGCAGACCAGACTTGAGTCTTCATGTACTCTGAAGGGAGGCAGGGCTTTTATGTTATAGTTCTGTGAGACAGCTAAAGTTTATTGTGCCAACCTGGCCAATAAACACATGTGGGGCTAATTGAATGGCGGAGAGATAAATGGCTCAGTGAGCCTCACCTTTCTAGTTCTCAGGTCTCTTGCTTTGTGATGGTTGGACCGGGGTGCAGCTGCCTTAGCCAGTTCCCTGCTTCAGCTGGCAAGGCTCACTTCCTGCAAGACATCCCTGAGGAGAAGCCACATGGACCTACCCTGATGCAGCCCTGGGTGCTGGAGCACCCGTGTGGAGACCCCTGACAGCAATGAGATGCTTACACGTTCACTGATTTGGCTTTCCTCCTGCAGTCGGCATCATAGTGTGTGTTTTGTGAGATGGAGGAGGACTTTGTGGATTGGTGTTGGACATATGGGCTAATGTTGGACTTGTGAGCTTGGGCAGCACTGGGTTGGGATGTTTTCTTGATGTGCACTTACCCTTTATATAAAACTCTCTCTTATACACGAGTTTCTGTGGATTTGTTTCTCTAAAGTACCCAGACTAACACACTCTGCCAAACAAAGGTGGTCTAGTACTAGGACCCTGGACCTCCAAGGCTACTATCCAAACAAACAAAAACAAACAAACACCCGAATTCACTGTCATGGAGTGGACTCTGACTTATAGAGACCATATAGAACAAAACAGAAGTGCCCTTTTGGGTGTCTGAAACTTTATATCTTTTGATGAGCCTAACAGCCTCGTCTATCTCGGAGCAGCTGGTGGGTGAGTTTGAACGGCTGACCTTGTTCAATGCAGTACTCCATCCGAACTTCTTACAGCTAATCTAACTAACTTCTTCCCTGCGAGGTGGTCGATTCTGACTCCCAGCACCCCTACAGGACAGAGTAGAACTGCCCCTGCGGGTTGCCGAGACTGCAGCTCTCTATGAGAGCAGAAAGTCTCATCATTCTCCCATGGAACAACTGGTGGTTTGACTGCTGACTTTGCCATGAGCAGCCCAATGAGTAACCCGCCAGGCCACCAGCGCTCCGAGCTTGACATCTAACACTCTAGCCAAACTCACTGCCATTGAGTCATTAAAATGTCATGGTGACGTTTTAGGACGGGGCAGAACTGCCCCCTTGAGATTCTGAGACTCAAAGTCTTTTTTTTAATTTAAATTTTGTTTACACTGTCGTAGAGTAGCTTCCAATCACCAGCTACTGAGCAAACTGGGAATGGAATGGGTTGTTTTCCCTCCCGTCTCCGAAGCTGGCAGAATACTAGCCATTCTCCAGATGCGATCCTGGGAGGTCACCTCAAAGTCTTTATGGGAGTAGAAAGATATGTCTTTTTCCCAAGGAGCAGCTGGTGGTTTCAAACTGATGACTTTGTGGGTAACAGCCCAGCATCAGATAGTGGATGTTACATAATCGTGACTTAGCAAGCAGAAGTGAGCTAGCAGTAGAGAGATCTGTAGTCATATTCAGCCTCAACAACGCCGCTTTCTTTACTGAGGGGTTGTGGTGACCTCAAGACAAGTCATACCAGAGTGAAACACGTGAAAGTTGGAATGCTACAGGATTACCTTGTTTTTCCAGGTCTCATAAGCTTTCTGCCTTTGACAGGGTACTTGTTTTAGTGGGAAAATCTTTCCGTTTTCCTTCCTCGATAGCTTCTGCCTTACACAGGTGTGGCTTTTGTAGGTTTAACTGGATACGTATTTCTGCTTCATTCTCTCAGTCTCTCCCCCCAGCAACCCCAGGATTTTCACCCTGATGAGATCAAGGTGACATGAGCATCAAAGGCAAATTTGAAGAGTGTGCGAAGTCACGAGTTGGGCCATTGTGCATGCAGCTGGATAGAGGTGGGTTCTACTTGGTGGGTTTAGTGCAGTCTGAGATTCACAGGAGTTAATATGGAAGACTCAGGCCTTTCCTTCTGGGCACCAGATGGCAGAGGCCCTGCCCTGACTCCTGCCAGCTGCCTGGCTCATGCATCTGTAGTGGGGCTGCCCTGATTATGTATCTTATACCAAGGATGGCTCTGTCTGACAGAGGAATACCTTTTGTTGTGAATATAGAGAGTTACCTGGATGGATCCGTTCTGGGTTCCTGCCAGGTCTCTGGCTAGGAAAGCTTGCAGCAGCTGTGTGCTAGATTTGGGGGTGAGTGGGAAGGGGTAGGACGGACTGAGGGGAGCTAACACTCCCTGTAGCCTAGTCTCCTTTCATCTCACATGACGAAGGGACAGAAGAGCCAGGTCTGAGCAGATCAGGGAATAAAAAATCCAGTTGGTTCAATTCATCAGAAGTTTTCTCAACTACATGGGTGAGCACTCCCCAAAAGAGCAGTGCTTAGAGCCGCCTTTTTAATTTATCATAGAGGACTTTCTAGGAGTAGTGGATCTGTGTGTGTGCGCGCACATGCGCACAAGCACATGTGTGCTCTCCTGAAAATGCTTTTTTTCTTCCAGACATTTTAAATTGCAATTGTGGCCTACATTTTTATCACCCAGCTACACTCATGAAGTCACTGTCAGGTCACAGCTGTAGCTCCTGCCTGAATCCTGTCTACAACCCTATTATTACTGCTAGAGTGCAGGGCAATGGGGGGAGGAGAGAACAGCTAACAATCTCACTGCCACTGAGCGCACAGGACAGAGTAGAATGGCTCCTGTGGGTTTCTGGAACTGTAACTCTTTGTAGGAGTAGAAAGCCTCCTCTCTCTCCCTTGGAGTGGCTGGTGGTTTTGAACTGATGATCTTGTGGTTTGCAGCCCAACACATAACCACTATGCCAGCAGTGCTGGGGGAAGAAGAGAAGACATGTGTGAATTATACTGTTCTGCTTCTAATGGGCAAGTCTGTGCATTTCTGGGTGTTTCAGTGGCCCTATGCCATGGAGAGTGTGCAGGGAGAACTGGGATCTCTTGCTCCAGGCATTCTGTTCCTCCCCTGGCATCTCCATGCCTGCCGCGCTCCAGTTTGAGACATTGTCTCCATTGTGACAGGCTCTTGTGGGTCCCCTCTCCCCACTCCCCATTAGGGGCCAAGCCTCCCTGTGGCTTCTCTAGGAGGGCTCTTCTGAACCCCATGCCTGGTGCTGTGTGTTCCCCATGGCACCCTGCTTTTTCCATGACAGTACTCAGCATCACTTTGCACACACCCTGCCCTCCCTGAGTGAATTAAGAGTCCCTTGGGTGATGCAAATAGTTAATATGCTCAGCTGCTAATTGAACGATTGCTGATTCCAGCCCACCCAGAAATGTCTGGGAACAAAACCCTATTGATCTGCTTCTTCAAATGTAGCCATTAAAAATTCTCGGGGCATAGTTTTACACTTAGGGCCACCTCGATGGCAATGGCTGGTCCCCACTAAGCGGGGTTCTCCACCAGGTCGGGGCTGCATTGGCTTTTCCTCAGACAAAAGGATGCAAGGGTGGCGTGTGTTAGTAAGCGTGTAAGGATGGAGTGATGGTTCGTGTCCACAGTGAAGGTCTGGCTGACCTATCTTTCTTGGTCCTCCTCCGGATTCACCCACTCTCTGGTCCAGACTGCCAGTGAAGAGTCTGCGGTGGGCCTTCCCTTTTTCTCTCCCTCTCCATTTTAACTAACTTCGAAGTTCTTTGTTTGTCTTTATTTTATACCTGGGTGTCACTTCTCTGCAGTCTTTTAGGATGAACTCAATAAAAACTATCTGCTTTCTTTCCCAAAGGTTCTGGGAGGAGGAACGCAAAACCATAGGGAGCAGACCAGTGCCGGAGCCGTTACCACTGAAACGGCAACCGTCTTCGGTGTGGGGCTCTTTTCTGGGGCAGCTGTTTTCGAGTTGGTTTAGGAACTTAGGACACGTGGGCCAGAGACACTTCAGGAACAGGCATTGGGAGTCATTGTCTGCACGTCTCTTCTGCCTTCAGGTATCGCGCAGCGAGGCTGAGCACAGGGCGAGGCAGAACGTGCTGCTTTGCAGGCCTCCATTGTGCCTTGATTGTTATTTCTTCCAGCAGAGAACTGTGGTTTATAGTGCTTCCGCCAAAGGGATGTTTCTTTAAGCACAAAGAGAACCCAAGGTAGCACTCAAGGTTGGGAGAGGACGAAACCCCTGCCACTGGTGGTGACTGCCCAGCACACTCCGCCTCATGGAAACACCGCGGGTGCAGGGCAGAGCTGTTCTATAGGGTTTTTGAGGTTGTGACCTTTGGGAATCAGATAGCCAGGCCTATCTTCCAAGGCACCCCTGAATGGGTTTGAACTCTAACCTGATGTAGTATTTGAGTACTGAACTTTTTCTGTCACTCAGGGACTCCTGATGCACCTCTAGATGCTTCTGTTTTGAGAAATTGGCCTGCGTACCCAGGGCAGGGTGCTTTAAGGTTGGTCATAGTCCTGATTCTTTATTGTTTCTTGATTTTTGAACAGACCTAGTATATGATCCTGTGTCATTCTTCAATCCACCAGCCACTCCTGAAGTGGCAAGAGAAACCCCTATTGTGGTTACATAGTCTCATGTATGAAGAGTGAAGGGGTGGAGTTTAGCTCATCAATCGGGACACAGCCTGATGATGCTCCCTTGTGGGCATGGCCTCCTCATGAGGATTCTGGGAACTTCCTCTCTTTCTCTCTGGAGGTGGGCCACACACTCTCTCTCTGCTTTACCTTCCTCCTGATGAGACACTGCTGAGAGCTGGAGCAGCCACGAGGAGACCTGTGCCAGTGCTGAGATGCTTCTACCGGCACTGGATCCACAGACTTTCCACCCACTGGCTTGTGGTCTTCCTGCATTCAGCATCATTGCATGTGCTGTGTGAGTCTGAAGAGGAATTTATGGACTAGTATCAGACTTCTGGGCTATTCTTGGACTTGTGGACTTGATTTGGACTAGGCTGGGATGTTTTGTTAATAGACAATTACTCTTTGATAAACAGCTCTCTCTTTCACATATGAGTGTCACTAAATTTATTTCTCTAGTTAATCCGACCTAATACACCTATTTAGTTTTCCTCAAGTTTGTTTGAAAATATTTACAGGACAACAATAATATGAAGATGATTGAGCAGTTAATATACTGGTTATGTGTTGTACTTTGTCATTATCTCATTGAATTGTTGGCTACAATATTGAGTAGCGACAGGAGCCTAGTCATAAAACACATGCAGTGTGCAAAGAACAATACAGGGAACACCTGTGTTCAGCATCATCTGTGAAGGTGAGCTTTGAATGGTTTGACCTCCTGCTTCAAACTTGAGTTTCCACCCCAAGTATACTGAATCCAAATCTGAATTTTAACAAGATCCTCAAGTGATTTTATAGATCCTCTTCCTTCCTCAGATGTAGCCATTCTCTTGATTTTTTATTATTTCTTTTCTTTTTAAAAAAATATCCAATTTTGGTTAAAATATGTATAACAAAACATTTGCGAATTTAACAGTTCATTGATATTTATTACATTCACCATGGTGTGCAACCATCACCACTATCTATTTACAAAATATTCTACTGGTTTAATAGCAAGTCAGTGTCCCCTAAGCAAAAAGCCCCCTGTGTCAGTCCGGGTAGACTAAAGACACAAATTCATAGACATTCATACGTATATAAGAAACAGTTTTATATATAAGAGCAATTGAATATTGAGAAAACATCCCAGCCCAGTCCAGATCAAGTCCATAAGTCCAATATTAGCCCATATGTCCAAAACCAACCCATAAAGTCCTCTTCAGACTCATGAAACACATGTAATGAGGCCAAATGCAGGAAGATCACAGGCTCGTGGGTGGAAATTCTTGTGGGTCCAGTGGCGTTGTAAGCATCTCAGCACTGGCAGGGGTCTCCACATGGCTTCCCCAGCTCAGGGCACTAATGTAGTTCCATGTGTCTTGTCAGTAGAGAGTCTCTCAGGGAGTGAGCCGAGAGAAAGAGTGTCTCCCATCTCTAAGGAGGAAATCAGGATTTCCCAGAATCCTCAGGGGAAGTGGCCATGCCCACACAAAGGCCTCATTGACGGTGACCTGACTGACAGCCTGGACTCCACCCCTTCACTCTGAATCCTCAAATTGACATCAGATTATGTAACTACCACACCCTTTATTCCCCTCCATCTCAAATTTGGCCTCTATATATTTCATCTAAATGGGGTCATACACTATTTGTACTTTTGTAACTGACTTATTTCAATCAGCATAATGTTTTCAAGGTTAATCCAAGTTGTAACATGCATTTTCAAGGTTCATCCAAGTTGTAACATGCATTAGAACTTCATTTCTCTTTAGGACTAATAGCCTTTTTCTTTTAAAATTACCCTCTTATCTTTTGTTTATAT